GATTTCCCGCCTCCATAACTTGGCAACAAAATCGATCTGGAAAGCTTAAAACACAGCCAATCAAAGCTGAGATCATGCGCTTTCTTGTAAGCCAATTAGATAGCCTCATCTCGATGTATTAGAAAAATGCCGCCAATCAGAAGAAGTATGTGACTCTTTTTGTGGACCAGAGTAGTACTACTTCACGCTTGGCTTCTTCGCACAACTCCCGTTGCGTGCGTCGGGCCGTACTCATGGCGGGAAATTTAAAAGTGGACACTCGTCCCCCAGTTTTTTTTTGTTTTTACCATCATTTATTTAAATATATTCGGTGGTGGTTATGACTTGTCGATTTTGAACTCCAAAATCTCGTTTTGGCGCTTCGCTGCCAATGGATGTCACCTCCAGTTTTCTACTACGTAGTATTCTCTACTTTTTACAGTTTTCAGTAACGAATTTGGACTAGAAATAAATTTTTGGGGTCACTTGAAGTCGAAATGGTGGCAGTATTGCAAAACAGAGGAAGTATCGCACGTTATCACTGACCGCAATACCTCGCAGGTTGACGAAGAAGTCGGTCGGCACTCAACGCGCTGCTCAGCTCAGCGACAGAATTGACCAGCAGCTCGATCAAAACGAACACGAAGGACCCCGACAGTCCTTGTGCCATCAGTACGTACCATCACCAACGATTCATGACACAGTTCGTTTGTGCAGCGACTTGATCTCCCATTGAGACGTCAGGTTGTCATGTGCTTGTCCAGGATGGGGCAGCAAGAGGCGTAGGTGGTGAGCTTGCAGTACACGACAACGTACAACGAGAGAGCGGCGTTGTGTTTGTTGGGCAGTTAGGCCGAGTATACGCCCGTCGAGAGGATTGACGACGCGTTGAGCCTGCAAGAAACGTCATCCCAGGGCCCGTGATGGACAAGACCTTGCACAGGTGATACCGCAGGAAGAACAGCATGTCTGTCACCTATGAATGGCATGAGAATTGTGCCAATGTCGTTGGTGTACCTTTGCATTGACAGTCAGAGCATGAACCGCATGTCGAGGTCTCGTCACGGAGGGTAGCGGTCACTCAACAAGTGACGAGTTCCTGGACCGTGATGCTATCGTGACAAGGAGTCCCCAGCGACAACGAGAATCGAGGCATTAGACAACAATTATCCACAGGATGAAGAGGCAGGAGATCACTAGAAATCAGCACACGCACGCAAGTATGCGAATGGATCGCATCGCTCGCAAAAACGCATGACCTTGCTTCCATGCCGCCTTTCGGGAGAGATGCATCACTTCCACAAGTGCAGAGCTTCAGTGGTGTCAATCTGCGACAACAGTCTCGTGGAGGACAACGTGACACCAGGATCGGTGTAAAGAACTCCCTACACTTGTCCCAGGATGTGTTCCCATCCATTGCAGCTCACGGCGTTGAGCGCGTCATGATATCTGATGGAGTCGATCATGCACAGTGTGCGAATTCGGTTCTGCATTTTTTAATAACTTCGCATACAAATGTCAAATGAAGCAAATTGTCCAGTAATTGAATTTCGCGCGCAATATTTGATCTTCTTCACAATTCAAAACGAATCACTACGAGCGAAGGTATGAGTGTCCAAGGCACGCCCATGCGTAAGCCCGCATCCCCCGTGACGGATTCGTCCTTCACAACCACGTCGACGGTGGCGGCGGCGGCGCGAATGGTGGAGGGAACAGTGGTGGAGCCTTTCGTTCGAAGTCCACCACCAAAGTCCTTCAATTTTGCCCCGACGCAGCCAAATTTCATGGTGAAATCCATATTCGCGTCCCCACCAGGGGTGAGGCTTCTCCAGAAGCCGTCCGATTTACGTCGCGAATCCATATCCCAACCTGTCAAAACAACGAACATATCTGTGAAGGTATCAACGATAACAGCTGAACCAAACAACACCGCCAAAGCCGGAACTCCACGTGGCAGCTCGACAACAGAAGATATGCCCCCGAATACGCTACTAGTGCAGGAAGGTCTACCCAGCCCATTGGCAGTGTCCAATCCACTGGGATTTTCAACAAAAGCAGCGAATACCATCGTTGGAGTCGCGGCGCGCAATGGTCACCCATGGGCAACGTTCGCAACGGCGGCAGATATCCTCGAAGAAGCAGCAGAGACGCCAACTCAGCCTGTCCGTCATACACCACGCATTGTCACACCAGACGACCCCATCAGTTCGAAGTTTACTGATTCGTTGGCGTCCAATTTCAGTTTGTCCACTCCCCGCCACACAACACCTGGGAATGCTGTGACTACACAAAACGAACCTGCTCAACCAATGCTGCACCTCAGAAATGACAATCACGCTGCAACACAGCGAGTATTGTTACGTACAGACGACCTGTCTTCGATTCACCTGAAGGTGTCTTCGACCAAATCGCAAGTGACGTTGCAGACAGGCTCAGATGCTCAACAAGAAAACTCCATCACTCCTCAACACAAATCGACTCCGACAAAGCGCAGGTTATCGCCAGGACCAAATGCTCAAACGAATGCTCTTCCTGCTCTTGCCATCGCCAGTACGACGAGGCGATTCAAACCAATTCTTGCACGGCAAGTCACTAAATCAGGGTCAAGCAACATCCCGACTCGTCATCGGGTCCACCACGCTGACATCGCGTCAGCAACTGCGGACGCAGTTCAAGCCAGTATAACCGAAGCTCATCCTGGCGTAATAAAGCAAGAAAAGGCTTCAAGCGTCAAAGATGTGCAGGTTGACCTTCCCAAATCGAAAACGATCAAGGTTGTCGTGAAATGCGACGAAGACGACATGGCGTTCAAGGTCAAACGCACCGCATACCTCCAAAAGATTTTCGACAACTTCGCCCATGCCAAGGGCATTCCAGTCGAGACGCTTCGATTCTTTTTCGACGGGACGAGGTTGAAAGGCGACGTCACCGTCGAGTCTTTGGGTCTCGAATCCGACTGTCGCATCGACTGCTTCTCGGAGCAAGTGGGTGGAGCAATAACAGCTCAATGTTTTTGAAGCACCACAGGTGATCGTTCAAGTCAACGCCTGGATGTAGGTAGTTTATCCTTCGTTGTCACTTATACCGAACAAACATCCTCGGGCGGGTTCACTTCTTGAGTGTGTTGTTCGGACAAGAGGTCAAGCTGGAGGTCCGATTCATGGACGTCGGTATCTTGTCGCACGAATGGCACGAGGAAGATCGTGGCGAGCGTCGTCCCAAGAAGCATCAAGAATACGTAGTTGTTGTTCTCGCCAAACGAGTACTGCGCAAGCGCTGTCAAATCGAAATTGAGCAGTCCGTAGACAAAGACGAGAGCCGTCGAGAGGCCTGCAAGCATTCCGTACAGCTCATGGGGAAAGCACGACACTGGATAGACGGCAAAAAAGTCGTGAGCTTGTCTTTCCCGTCGACGAGAGCAGTGTTACGTACTGATGTACACGTATTGCACAATCGTGAGGAAGGCGTTGGCGGCCGCCATGAGCGCAAAACTCAAGTTTTGAGCAGGAAGCGACGGCAGCATGAACGAGCCGCAAAGCAGTGCAAATATCGCGATGGCAATGAAGAACGTCTGGTGGAACCCGCGGTGGACCATCAGGTAGCCACAGATGGGGGATAACAAGAACGACGAGTACGAAAGGAGCGGGTACAGGTAGTTGGTGTACAAGGTCTTCAAGTCTCTGCTGCTCTCGTTGGTGTCTGGCACGAGCGATGCAATGACACTGGGCACGGCACCCCCCGCAAAGATGATGACCAAAAACAGCATCGACCGAACCGCAACATACACCCAAAAGTCGCGCCGCTTGAGCTGACGCTTCAAGCCCGTCCAGAGCTGCTTGAGTTTCGATGTCTAGTTCAGAGTCACCACCGTTAGCCATGCAGTAGATTAGCTCGACGAGCACGACGTCGCGTGGTTCGTGGCCGTACGTCGAAGTGCGAAGGAATGAAGTGGAAGCCTGGCGTCGTCACGATGACACTCTCGCCGAGAACGTGGTGCACGGGGAAGATTAAGTACACCAGGATCATGGACACTCCAATCAAGACCCTATCTCACGACCCTCTTGAAGAACCATGCTGCTGACGACTGACCTTACGCATATGCGAGGAAGAACGTCTGCCTCGATATGTCGAGCTCCAACAGGACAAACATGTACCCTATCGACCAAAGATGGCATCACAAAACGAGTTCAACCATGGCCATACAACCGTCGAAACCACTTCGTACCGGAGAAGCTGTACGCTGCCACAAGCACACTCGTGTACAGGGCGGGCTCACGAAAGAGCGTCGAGAGCTGCAGAGACGCGTACAAGATGCCCATCCCGCCAAACCCAATCAAGGCATACCCGGCGACGAGGAGGCCGTCCGTGCCATCGCGGGAGTCGCCCATTGCCAAAAATACGTTGCCAGCCATCGAAAACTACCCTCACAGCACAAAAGGTTCGTCGTCGTCATGGTTCAGGCTGGACCGTACCAAGTAGGCAATCACGGTCATGTATCGTGGTCCGATCATGTCGAGGAACGTCCCAAAAACGGTTTGACCCAGCACGGTCATGAGAATGCCGGTGGAGTACACATTCTGCAATTGGACTTCTTGGTCCGAGCAACTTTTGGTCGTGTTGGGCGGGCACAGGTCGTGCCACTGCAATTCCTTCACAAGGCGACTGTAGAACGGTCCAAACCTACAAATCCGTGTGTATGCATGAGTTCTCTGTACCATGGCCTCATTTGAGCGGATGGCCGGTGTGCGCATACCCAAAGCACAGTCCACCTGACGTGAGGCACGTGAGAAGAAATCCGAGGGCGAAGACGGTGTTGCGGTGGAGCTGAAGAGGTGCTTTGCCTTGACGGGCAAGTGGTGCGGTTGCATTCTCGGCGCCGCTGTCGTCTACTCCAGTGGTCGCCATGCCGTTCGAGTACACATGTGGCATTGCACATGTTGGTTACACTCTGGAAAAAAATTATAGCCGCACCCCAAAATTTTCAATGTGTGAAGTTGCTGTTCAACAAGCTCGAAATCTAACCATTCTGTTCGAAAGATATGACGAGATGGCTCCCATCATGACGTACACAGCTCCATGGCTATATAAATTTTTGATTTACAAAGAAAACACTGAAAAATGTTCGGTGCATTATTATAGCCGTACTACCTACATGTCGACTAATAGTCGATTTTTGCTCCTCTCTTCAAAATGACTTGAGCCATTCGTGTCGACATACTGTCAACAAGTGTCCGATCGTACAGTACGCTAGCGTGATACGTTCCCACTCGATGGCAATTTGTCGCTTCAAGTCTTCAACGCTGTCGTATTGGTGACCATTTCGGTACACAGCACGGGCCAAAAAGCCCCAAACGTTCTCAATTGGGTTGAGATCGCGGCTGAGGGCTGGCCAGGCCATAGTTGGAACGTCCTT